AGCTGTGACTTTGGCTATCCTGTATAGAACAAAGCTGAGACTTTGTATAGATTATATTATATAGATTGATCCATTGGAGTTCAGACTGAAAGAAAATGGAAATCTTCTAAACTATGTGAACCCAGTGATCAATTTTCTTTTTATGTTTTGGAGAAGAAAGATGTTTGATCTTCAGCAACCATAATAAACAGGTGGAGGATGAAGCTACAGATTTTCTTTCTTAGGTATTATAGAGACATAAATGACATGGAGACTACTCCTACCTTTGTGGAATTTTAATGCCCAATAAAATCTTGGGCAGAAGAATGATGTGGGAAAACTGGACAACTGTCAATGAATTTGTTCTTATGAGCTTCTCAACCTTGTCCTCTGAGCTACAGGCTCTACTGTTTCTCCTATTTTTGATCATTTACTTGGTTACACTAATGGGCAATGTCCTCATTGTCGTGGTCACTACAGCTAATTCTGCTCTGCAAAGTCCTATGTACTTCTTCCTCAGAAATTTATCCTTTCTAGAGATAGGTTTCAATTTGGTCATTGTGCCCAAGATGCTGGAGACCCTTATCATTCAAGACACAACCATCTCCTTCCTTGGCTGTGCCACTCAAATGTACTTCTTCTTCTTCTTTGGGGCTGCTGAGTGCTGCCTCCTGGCCACAATGGCATATGACCGCTACGTGGCCATCTGTGACCCCTTGCGCTACCCAGTTATCATGGGCCTCAGGTCCTGTGCCCGACTGGCAGCTGCATCTTGGTTCTCAGGGTTTCCAGTGGCCACTGTGCAAACCACATGGATTTTCAGTTTCCCTTTTTGCGGCCCTAACAGGGTGAACCACTTCTTCTGTGACAGCCCCCCTGTCATTGCACTGGTCTGTGCTGATACCTCTTTGTTTGAACTGGAGGCCCTGACAGCAACTGTCCTATTTATTCTCTTTCCATTCTTGCTGATCCTGGGGTCCTATGTCCACATCCTTTCCACTGTTTTCAGGATGCCCTCAGCTGAGGGGAAACACAAGGCCTTCTCAACCTGCTCCTCCCATCTTCTAGTTGTTTCCCTCTTTTACAGTACAGCCATCCTCACATATTTCCGACCCCGCTCTAGCACCTCTCCTGAGAACAAGAAGCTGCTGTCACTTTCTTATACAGTGGTGACTCCCATGCTGAACCCCATCATCTACAGTTTAAGGAATAATGAAGTGAAGGCTGCCCTAAGGCAAGTCATCCGCAGAACTATGGGCCTTCAGAAGCTATGACTAACTTAGATGGAAACTGAAGGGGTAAAATGCAAGGACAAAGGAAAGAAAATTGAATTTCTCACATGAGTTTTTAAATCTGTACTTTTCCAGGAACACACAGTATGTCCCCTGCAAGTTTGGACTTTCTGCTAGAATTCATTTCTGAGTGAAAGAACAGGGAGCCGGGGACTTAGATCAGTGGTTCTGCCGCCTGCCTCTGAGTGAAAGAACATGAGTAATGAAAGCAGTAATATAGCAGGCTCTGTATTCTGTGAGATTGTAGTAGCAATATCTCTAAGGATACTGCTAGTTTACATAAATTAGGATCCTCTGAAAGTTGGAAAATTCACTAAAATCCACTCTCTGTTTTAACTTTGAAACTCTGTATCAATTTCATTTTATAATTCTCTACTTTACTTTCCTGTTTTATCCAAAAATCCTACCTGAATATTTCTAAGGTGTCTTTATTTATAAAGTAATTAAAACAACAGTACTAATGATGATAAATAAAAGTGTTTTTTCATTCTTTTACTTGTTTTTATAAACAAATTTTGAGTTTGCACTCAAAATTTCAACAAAGTTTCATTCAGTAATCTGTGCATATCAGTCAGGCCTAGGGTATGCCCTAACAACACTATGGTAAAAAAACAAATTCCTTGCCTCATGGAATTTATACTCCAGTAAGAAAGAAAATGAAAACAGACTTCAAATCTTCAAAGGCTTATAATCTGCATGTGTTTAGAGGGGTAGCAATTGATGACTGCATAGCCTACCATCATTGGTCTGTGCCTCATCTGGAGAAAGACTACTCCACACTGACAACTGCCTAACTCAAATTATCCACATGGGATATATAAGTTGCTTGACAGAAAGGTTATAAAGAACTCTCTAGTCAAGCATAAATAGAGAAGGTATTGGAATCTTCTGTAAACCACTCAAAGATGCTTTGTTGATTCAACTTTTTTTCTGTATTATTGTGATTGGATGAAATCAACTGCTCCTTTCAAGCTTGTATGTCAATCATTCTACCTACATAACAGACTCTGATTTTTCCCAATGAACATAGTAATACTCCCAGGAAATAACAATCTTGGGGTAAAGGCAGTATAACTTTGTGTAATTCCCAATAATTCATTGATAATTACAGAGTAAATAGTATTTATTGCATAAGTGTGTTCTTTCCATCAACTCTACAAAATAGAACCTATCTGGTAAATGGATAAACAAATTGAGATAGGTACCTATAATGGATTATCGCTGAACAATAAAAAGAGACAATTAATAAATACAAGATGAATGCACACCAAATGCATCATGTTATATAAAAGTCAGACTGAAAAATATACTCAGGATATATTTACATGAAATTTTTAAAAAGGCAAATATATAGCAACAGCAGATCAAATGATTGCTAGAGAGTAGAAGGAAAAGGAATACATTGACTGAAAGGAGGCACCATAGACTTTTCACAGTAATGAAAATCTTTTATGTCATGTGTAGTGGTGGTTAACGTACTGCTTACATTTGTTAAAACTGAACCTCAATGTGAACACAATTCATCAAGAGAAACAGTTGGCTCCTGGTGGTATGTTGATTACACTGGACCCCTTCTATCACTCAGAACTCAGTATTTTGTCCTCATAGAAATAGAGTCATAGTGTTCCTCCTTTATTGTGGTGAGATAAAATGTAGTAGACTCAAGTTGATTGAATTTATGTCACTTCTCATTCCAACATCCAGAAACATTTGACTTGATAGAATTGCAAAATTGGCCTGCTAAAGTCTTAGTAGCCACACCAGCTAAGAGGCAACCTCTAAGAGAAGTCCTGTCTAATAAATGCAGTATATACTTTTTAAATAGTTCTCAATATATGCTCCTGTATCTACAATTTCTAGAATTCAAAGGTTGATAAATCTAGGGATATAGTTGGAGTGGCTTCTTAGATTATTCAGCAAGTAACCCTTTGCAGACATTTTGCTACCCATCTTTACATTCTTCGGGAATGTAGATTAACTGATTTAGGATTCCTAGTATCTCAAAAATGAATGCCTTGAGACGGGGATTTAGCTCAGTGGTTTTGCCGCCTGCTGCACAAGCGCAAGGACCCGAGTTCCATCCTCGGTACCAAAGAAAAAAAAAATGCCTTCACGATGGTCCTGAACCACTGAAAGTCCTAATGAATTAGAAACAGCTAGTGCTCACTGGTAATGTGGTCCTCTTATTACTGAATTCATAGGCAGACGTAGGTAAAATCACTGTATTCCCTGAAGTGACTGATCTTATTTCCAAACACAAATTTGGTTGCTGAAATTTGCTGGTGGTAAAGAAGATTGAGCTGAGAATCCAGAGGATTCACTGGCATATCTTATCACATTTCCTTGATCAACAGCTCCAGCCAAAAAGAAACTGCAGAAGTCCAATAAAAAGGGATCATCAAGAACTCAAATTTCCAGGAAAAATGTTTTAAGTCATGATAGGAGATGAACCCCAGCAAATATAGAATAAGACAGAAAATAATAAATTAATAAAAGGTAGTGAAAGAAAAAGTTGTAATTATCAATTTTGGTCTGGTAACCCATAAACTATAGAAGTGTGTCTCCTACTAATTATTTTCTTTTTTCACCCCTTTTCCCAATTTCCTCATATAAGTAATCCCAGTGGAAGCTATTCTTTCAGGTATCAAGTGTGACTTATTTGACATCACACTGCTACAATAAACTTGTTGATGGAAATGTATAAGTTCCCTATATTAAGAACATGAATTAATCACTGGACAAAGAACAAGTAGATGCTGAGGGCCAAAGAGCAATCACTTGCTCTTCACCTTCAGCTTCCTTTCACGCATTCATTCTCTGTCCTTTCTCACCTTGCTCTGAACTTCAAAATGTTTGTTGTTTTCTATGAATTGTACAGAGAAACTCCCTTGTACTCAGGCTTCTAATTGGAATGCAGTAGTGAGGATCAGAAGGTAGATAGGAATTAATCTTGAAATATTTCTTGCCAGGGCTTGCTCACTTTCATCTAACCTAGTCCACAGCTCTTGTCTGGTGGACTTTGCATACAGCTACCCTTTCTAGGTCCTCTTGGTCTTTCAGGTCTAGGTTTGATTACAGCTTCCCACTTTTGCTAGCCCTGGGATGTGTCATTATTTCTTACTGATTTACAAAATCACATATTCACTCTTATGAAAGTACATACTGAAAAAAAAGAAAAAAAAGGAAAGTACATACTGATGGATAAGATCCTCCTATTTCTAAAAGGAATACGATAAGGTCAGAAGGGCTCATATATTCTGGTTGATTGTACTCATGCTCTTCATTACTCACACATACAGGTACACATGCATGCACATACACATAGCATCTATTTCATGATAAGTGATTAATATTTCTAAAGTTTTATTATTTTATGTTTTGAAAAAATTCAGAAATACTAAAATACAAAGAACTTGGAGTAAGATCTTAGATATATGAATATAAAATTAATATATTATATATAAATGATATCTTTTATAAGGCTTACAAAATATGAATGTTTCTCAGGAAATTTCCTAAATCTTGAGTGTCAAAGACTGAAGCAGAAGAAAGCAGATCTGTCTTATTGTTCCTTGAATTGTTATGCTTCTTCTACAAAGGAAGTGCTAAAGAATAAAGAGTAGATCCATAGACAAGTCTCAAGGCTGAGAATCTTAGCACATTTAGATTTTCAAGGAAGTAAACTACCCAGCCAGTTTTAACATGTAGGAAGTCAGAAAGGTCTCTGAGTCAGTGAGTGATTTTAAATCTGCATAAGAAGTTCCCTGTGGCTACTTTTCTCAGTGCTCCCTTCACATCCTTGTTTCTCAGGCTGTAGATTAAGGGATTAAGCATGGGGGTCACCACTGCATAGAAAACAGACACCAGTTTCTTCTGCTCTTTGGAAGATTTGGATGTCATGTAGGTGATGATTCCTGACCCATAAAAAAGGATGACAACCATGAGGTGGGAGCCACAGGTAGAAAATGCCTTGAGCCTTCGTGCAGCTGACTTCATCTTGACCACAGTCACTATGATGTAGCCATAGGATACAAGAATTAGGGAAACAGGTATAAGAAGAATCACAACCCCCATGAGAAAAATGGCCATCTCTGAAGTGTGAGTATCTGTGGATGCCAGAATCAACAACGCAGGGGCCTCACAAAAGAAATGTGCAATGCTGTTGCTGCCTTGGTAGGGCAGCCTTAGTGTGAAAGTGGTGTCCACCACAGACACTATAATGCCACTGGTCCATGATCCTGTGGCCAGCTGGATACACACTCTCCAGGTCATGATGATAGGGTAGTGCAAGGGGTTGCAGATTGCCACACACCTATCATAGGACATCACTGCCAAAAGGATACACTGTGCACACCCGAAAATGAGGAAGAGGAAAAGTTGAGCTGCACATCTTGTGAATGAAATTACCTTCTTTCTGGAAAGTAGGTGGACTAGGGCCTGAGGAACTATGTTTGTGGAGAAACAGAGGTCAGCCAGAGACAAGTTGCAGAGAAAGAAATACATAGGTGTATGAAGCCGGGAGTCAACCTGAACAAGGGACATGAGGAGCAGATTTCCAATCACAGTGACCAGGTAGACACCCAGGAATAAGAAGAATAGCAGCAGTTGGGTATTCAGGTCATCAGAGAGTCCCAGAAGAAGGAATTCTGCCACCTGTGTCTGATTGGTCTGTCTCATAGTTTGTCTCCCTTTTCAGCAAGAAGTCACTATATGGTAAACATAGATGTGCATAACCTGTAAAATTATATAATTTGAGTTGAAGGGCTTACATATAGCCCCAATTACTATAAACCATTTTTTAAAATTAACTTTATAATGCCTTTAGAAGATGATCATGCTGCTTAAACTGGGAACATTCTTAGTGTTGCACAATAGAATATCACAATTCCAAAAATAGGACAATGAATGAAGACTGGATGTATCGTAAAGTCATGCCATGTAATTGTAGTTTATTATCAATTAAATCCTCTGTGTTATATGCTGCTCTTGTCACATCTCCATCTCATGAATGTGTTGATTTTTTGGAGGGCGGTACCAGGGATCGAACTCAGAACCTTGTGCTTGTGAGGCAGGTGACAGAACCACTGAGCTAAATCCCTAGCCCATGATTGTGTTGATTTTTGAAAAAAAATATTTTTGCTATGCTCTTGTCTCTTCCCTAAAAAGACCGGAAGGTATAAGAATTCAAAAAGAGCCAAAATACTTTGCACAACAAATATGTTTCTTAGAGAAAAGAACCTGTCCTGAAGGAGTTGGGGAGCTAAAGAATAATTCTGAGCCCCTTGGCATCTTCTCTGCAGCTTCTGCTGGAGCTCTGTGATGCCAGCCTCAACTGTGAATAAAATTCCAAAATACAGACACACCATCAAAGCAGAATTTTCATTTAAGTCATCAGCTTGGCTAATTTATTGCTCTGCTCAAATAGTACTACTACCCAACATCTAGCCCACTGTCATCTCTTACTACCTTGTGTTATCTATTGCTTACCCCTCCCCAAAATTTAAAAACTCCTTTGAAAATTGTATAACTTTTCTCTGTGTACTTGAGAAGATGTAAAGAGCATCTCATCCACTAAATGATCATTAATTACATAATGTCAGTAAAATATAGAAATAAGCAGAGATGTATGGAAGGCCTGCATTGTCACTAGAGAGATTTGGAAGAATTAGGAATGATTATAGAATTTTACAGAGCTGTTACAAAAAAGAAAGAGTACTTAAAGTGTAAAGTTTAAACTTCTATGCAAGGGTTGGATTATGAACTATTTATTTGATAACTGACAATGTTTCAAGATAATGTTTTAAATTCATAAGATGACTACATCAATAATTACCAAGGAAAAGTTACATCAAATATAGTTATCAATATAGCTTTAGAAAACAAGTGTGTAAATAGCAATATATGTGCTTCAATAATACACAATAATAAAGACCATACATGTCTTCATTAACATTTTTTTTGGCATTACTGGGGATTGAACTTGGGGTCTTTGTAATAAGTTACATTCTTAGCATTTTAAAATTTTTTTTAAATTTTGAGACAGAGTCTCACTAAACTGCTAAGTCTCCCAGGCTGGGCTCAAACTTGCAATCCTCATCCTCCCACAGTGCTATTAAAAGTAGTGAGTGTTGGGCTGGGATTTAGCTGGGATTTAGTGGCTCTACACCTGTCTCACAAGTGCAAGTTCCTGAGTTCAGTCCCCAGTACTGAAAAAAAAGTAAGTCTAATAACCACTTTTATTTCAAAATAATTGTGACCTGAAATATTTTCAGACATTCAACAACCACAATGTGATATATAAATACTTTTGATTTCTATTGTTGACAAAGTCATAGATACTTCCAATACTGGTACCAATCATTACTTAAAGTTAAACTAGAAGCAAATGCCAAATTTCATTTAGAGGAAAGTAAAAATGTAGAAGTAGCATTTCACATGGAAATTGAAGAACACCCTGAAATCGAGGTTAAGAACTGCTAGGCTACAGTCTAACAAAAGAAAGACAGACAGACAGACAGAAAGAGAGAAAGAAAAAAAGAAAGATATATTAAAAAGTCAAAATTACATTCTACATAATCTATTAACAGAGTCTTAATATTTAGATGGGTCTGTGAGTTGATGTGATGAAAATTTTCTACTTATATTTGTTCTTAGACTAAAATTGGAATGTGGCATCAGAAGAAGGTCCCTTTGTGCTCTGTTTAACTGCTTGGTGTTTTAGCTGTGTGTTCATTTTGTAAGTAGAAGCTCTAAAGCAGATAGCCTAGTCCAAACCAGGTATTACCTATTTGACAGAAGCCCAATTTATAACCATCCACCCCTATCCATTGCTGGTTGGACATGGATTCACCTCTCCTTTTCTCACTCTCTGTGATTTCTCCTTCAATATCTTTCCCAATTCCCCATTTTAACCCCAACATAGAGACATAGACACAATTACCCTCATCCACAAATACCTAGTCTATCATAAATACCTCAATAGTAGCTCTTAACAAATATTTCTCTGTGACCATAAAATGTTCAAGGGCAGAGACAACACCTAAATTACCTTTGTTCCCAGATAACAAAATCAATCATGGTAAATAATTTTCCAGCACTTGTTTTTTGAACTGATTTGACTTGATCAAAGGTATCAGGAGACAGAGAGGTGAATGTGTGTAATAGATGAATGTGACTTGGTTTTTGTCAGATGTTATGGGCTCTCACTGCCTAGGATTGTATTAGAAGGCAGCATCCCTAACTTCTCCGGTTGTCATTGAAAATACTATTCTCCCATGCAAATGTACAGGAGAAAATGTTTCCCCAGGTGACTGTGAATCTGCTTTCAGGGTCAAGTGTCTGTAAGAAAAATCATTCTCACTGTCAATCTTTCTGTCATTTCATTTTACCTTTTCTCCAGATTTAACAGGAACTGTGAGTTCATTTCTCTAAAGGTAAAATAGGACACCGGAAGTGAAGGAGGATTGAAAGGCTCACAGAAACAACATTGTCTAATTTACATATATTTTAGGAAGAAGGTATTGAGTAAACCCATAAGGAACCAACCGAAAAATACCAAATTTATCTTCTGATCCTTCACAGTTAAAAATCATCTACTCTGTATCCTCCAAACCCAGCTCAACAGAGGTATAAGAACCAAAGCTCTTTCCGTAGAAGTTCTGTTTATGTCTACATGAGGACCAGGATTATTCTTCACTAGGAATTTCATGTTGTAATTATGATTTGACAAGGTATATCCACTGTGAAAAATGACCAGATCTGTTGTAAAAGGTTTAGCCTCATTAAGCAGATTATTTTCATAAAATTAGATTAATTTTTAAAATCCCATCTAAGAGGGTGAAACAAGTTCACTTCCAGTATACCCCCAGCTACACCTTCTTGGTTCTGTGTTATGCCTTTTCTTCCCTTCCCTTTAGTGATCTTATCAAATTTTCTTATCTGGAGGAGAAAGAGATTAAGTTAGCACCCCAAAGACATGCCATTGTTGAGGGAGAAAGTGCTGCAGCTGCATTGAATGCACCTTGGGAAAATGGAGATAACAGGCATCTTGTCATAAAAGCAGAGTTCAGTAAAATCTCCTAGTCAAGACCAACAACAAGGCAGGAAAGGGATTCCCCACATCTCCCATGTCCTACTACCCATTCAAAGGTCTTACCATTGACTTCAGGATAAACTGTACTTTAATATTTCCATTTAAGTGAGGTGACACTGTGAAAAGGGGATTCTAGAAGCAGTCTCTGGAGCAGCTAAAGGTCTAAGGAGAGTTCTGAGTCATTAGTGTGTTTCCTGAGCTGTATTTCTCTCAGAAAGCTCCCAAGTGGTTATAAGAGGACAGAAAGGGGAACAATGTTCTGTTGCAATTAAGCATTTGGTTTCTGGAAGAAAAAAAAAATATTAGGTTGAGGGCTGGGGATTTAGCGCAAGGTTCTGAGTTTGATCCCCGGTACAAAAAAAAAAAAAAAAAAATACTAGGTTGAAACTCAGATCTATCATATATCTTTTGTATAATTTTGAGAAAGTTCATCATTTTCAGAATGTGAAGGTGACGTACTCCAGATAATAATAATTGGATTAATGTGATTAGCATGACATCTGTTCACAGTACCACTTCAAATTATTATATTAATATATCATTATAAAATATAATTATTATTATCAAGGCTGGGGACTGACATTATGGATAAGTATCTGAGTTTTGACAGATGTCATATGTTTGGCATTGTTCAGGAAATTTGTTATATATTTGTTATATATAAACTGGCCATAGGAGAGGCTAAAAAATCCAACACAAATCAACTGAAAAGAGAAACAAATTTTTTTTTTT